ACTCCTGTCTGATGGAGGTTGGGCTGAGGAACCAGGGGGAGAGGGGCAACAGGACCCTTGGTGAGGGGGGAGACGGGGGAGACAGTGGGGAGTACATCAGCTTTCGTGGTCCCTCGTCTCAGACACCAGAGAGTCCACTGGCAGGAGGACCGAGAGCCAGGTGCTTCATCAGAGGAGAGAGGTCCAACTCCTGCTCTTCACCCAGCACAGCGACCACCACGTACAGGTGAGGACACACACACACACACACACACACACAATTAAATATTTTATAGACTCATGGCATTACTATTATTACTCATGCAGAAATATCGATAAGCAGTTAAATAGATAATATTTTACTCATCATAGTGTAGGATTATTGGGATATAAGTTCTCCTGTTTTGTCCTGCAGGTCTCCAGTGTTGCGTCGCCAGGCCGTGCTAGCTAGTAGCTGTTCTCAGCTGGAAGCAATAGGGGGTTCCGACTCTCAACAGCGATCCTCTATCCCAGAGTTTCGAGTTCACCCCTCCACTCCCTCGAGCCAAAGAGCTGCCCCAACCTCCTCTGCTCCTCCCACTTCATCCTCCTCAGCTGCCAGTGAGCAGGGTGGCGGTCAGGGTAATGGGCCGACCCTCCCGGGCCAACTGTTGTACCTACGACGAAGGGCTGGGAAGAGTGAGAAAGATGGGGATGGTATAAGGAAGGATAGCGAAGGGCTCCTACGTCTCGTGAGGTCTCACAGCGAGCCAGGCCTCGGCTCCTCGACTGATACAGGTGAATCAGACACAATAATGAGTAAATTTATTTAATTACTATTTCTATGTCCATAACCTGTTCTTGTATCTCGTCTTTTCTAGTTGACTTTGGCTCTGGAGGCAGCAAAGCATCTACAGACACAGGTAAGAGTTTATATCTAAAGGGCTTTTTATTGCATGTCACCACTGCCCATCACTTTCTTCCTGTCTCTTTTCACATCTGACTGCCAATTAAAAGCAAGAAAAAAACCCAAAGAAAAACAAGTTCATTTGAGGAGATACAATTCAACACATTTGCAACTAATGGACATCATTTATCAAACTCTCTTAGAAACTAATGCAGATTTAAAGACCGGAGGAAACCATGTGCATGTGATTTATGAAACTCTTCCACAACATCTAAATTCGCAGTGATTTGATTACAGAGTGATACATTTAGATTCTGCTGTGGAAACAATAATGTACCTAACCAGTTCCCCATTTACATATTATCCACAGTGGTTACTGTGCTTTACTTAAGTGACTGCCCAATATGAACCTGAATCGGTGAGAGTTTAATTAACCTAGTTTTGTTATACTATAATAGATTTATAGAACTAGACTATTACATTTTAAAACAAAACTGTATGCTCTTATTCTTTCTTGTTGAAAAAGGACAATCTGGCTTATTATGTAATTCCAGTAGTGTTCCATACTCTCTCAAGGCTACATGCACATTTATTTTACAGCTCTTAAAGAGATTATTAAATTAATAATAATAATAATAATTAATAAATACATATCAAGATCAGTTGGAGCACTTTGGGGCCTCTCGGCTATTTTCTGCTGCTGGGTCATCGAGACTTAGTGCATTGCTCTTTTATATGATGTTGTCAACTTAATCTCAACAAGGTAGTAATTCTGCTGTTAAATTTCAGTTAATTAGTTAAGTATTGTTTCCTTGCCATGAAGCTCTGTAAGGCAGAGCTGGTATAATGGTTCCTTTTTCCCCCTTTTGTGTTTTTGGGTAGTATTATGTTTATATTTCTAGTCAGGGCTGGTTGGATTGTTAGTTTGGCCTTGGCTGTCCCTGAATTTCAATCTAAATGTCTGTATCAGGCAATAAAGGAATGATAAAATGTGCAAAACTGACTTCTAATATATCCCTCATCTACTTTTATGTTACTCCCCTCTCCCCCTAGACCAGTTTTAGAACAGTATTATAACTTGACAAATGCCAAAATCCTTCTCTTTTTTTCTGACTCCATCTCTCTAAGGTCCATCTTCTGAGGCGTGTCTGTTGCCCCGCACCTCTTTGCCTCCCGCTGCTGCTCTGCCAAGGAAAGGAAGCATGAAATCAGCAGCCACGGGGGTGCAGGTTCCCTCCAAACCTCCCCCAACCTCACCACTGCGTTTACCTAAAGACTGCCACCGTTCCCTTGGAGACCTTAAGGTTAGTCTGAAAACTGATAGAAGATACAGCGGCAGCAAACTCTTCCCATATAAGTCTTCGCCAAAGCTTGTTTGACTTTCTTATTTCCCCTTCACTGATCTTTTTACTTTTCCTTCAGGTGACTCGGGGTCTGGTAGCTCGCTTCCTGCAGCGCTCCAAACGCAACCTATCGCCCTCCTCCGAGCATGCTGGGAGCACAGGCCAGGGGCCTAAGAGGAGGAATGGAGCTGAGGGCACTGCCACCAACCACCTGCCCTTGGAACAAGTAAGAAACGTTTAGATTAATTTATTTCCCCTTATCTCCAGTTCACTACATCAGAATAGTTCAGTTCTTCTGCGACTTATACCGTCTGCTCTTTGTCTACATTTCTGCTTGATAAAAACATCCTCAGGTGTTGCTAACCCCTTGGAACACCAGCAGAGGACACCCCAACCATCACCCCCATCACCCTCATCGCCGTGGACACCACCATTCCCATAGTGACAGTCGACACAACAGGCACCACGGCAGTCGGGTGCCAGAGGGGATCCACCTGCGCAGCTGTGGAGATTTAAGCTCCTCCTCTGCGTCAGTACGCCGATTAGTGACCCCTCATCCACCGCATGGGTCATCAGGAGCTCTCTACTCAGAGTCTGCACTGTGAGGAGGAGAGGAGGGTGAAGGAGGGACGGAAGAGAAAAATAGGAGGCTTAGGCGTTAACAGGGTACCAAGGAAGGCAGGGATGTGAATCTGGAGCAGTTTAGTGGTGATTACATTTTGAAAGTCTTTCCTCCTTTTCCTCTTTGTCTCCTCCGTTTCCTGAAGCCAACTGTGCAAATGGCCTTATTCAGTGGTGCTCTTTATCACTCTGAACATCAGCCCAGAGCTCACACTATTTCACTGTTCAACATCAGTGAAACGGTCACTAGATGCTTATTTCTGGGCAGTGTGGTCTTTGTTCTAACAGAATAAATCCACAATTGGCCAAGACAACCAGCCAGAAGCATCTTTTCTGCTGTGCTGTACTGTACTCTTCTCTCCCTCTCTCAATATCCATCTGGAAACACATGGTCCCTCAAGACTGGAGACAGACTTCAACTAGCATTCATGCTACAACAACTACTTACTCACATGTACATTCAGACTATTACATAATTATGGGTTGCAATATGCTTCTGGCCCTTTTGTACATTGCTGTTCATCCACGGGATCACTCAGGTGAAGTGATCATGGAAACCCTTATTTTGTCTTCCATTGATTAAAAAAATGCATCTCAATAAACATGTAGTTAGCTGAGTACAGTGTAAGATAAACAGATGAGGTTGCACATGAGGACACATTTTCTCTCACATGGACACTTTACCCAGTTGCTATTTTGTCTCTTTTGCAGTTCAGATTCCCACATTCTCCACGCTTTTCCACCTCCACACTGGCCTTTTAAAAAAAGGCAGCCAGCATTTTAACACTGATATTAATGCACACCACAGACACATGCTCAGTCTTTGAAATGTATTCTCTGTGGGTGGCCCCTGGACACGGTGGTTTGATTTGCATATGTGCATGTTTTTGCTCCAGCCTTCAAAATACAGCAGGAACCTTGTGCATTCAATCCTGACCGTCTGTGTAACTATGTAACATGTCCTCAGAATGTCTTTATCTGCATGTTTTGACAATGCTTCTTACTTTTTTTCCTCTTGCACCCAAGACCTATGATAGTAGCCAATTTGAAATGTGTTCGTGTGAATAGATAGCTGGAGGTGAAAGCCAGAGTCAATGATATTCAGTGCTCCCAAGGTTTTTTGCCAGATGGCTCCAAACATGCCTCTGCATTCTGATTTGATTTGGATAGGGTTTGAAAATGTTTCAAGCACACAGGCATATCTGTGACACTGGCTAAAGCAGTCCAATCCTGTAAGATAGAGAGGTGTAAATTGCACTCTGACTCTGACGACATGAAGAGTCTCTTGCAATAAATGTACAGACAAATTTGTTATAAGGTTAAACTTCACACTATGTGTTGGCACAGGTTTTCTTGTGGAGGGGTGGTTAAATGAAAAAAAAGGCGGCTGAGAGTCCAGTGGACATATAATGGGCTTGGCAGCTCTGGATACTAGATTTCAAAGTGTATTAATATTTGTGTCAGATTGGAGATTTTGTCTCTTTGGAAAGTTTTTTGGTGTGCTCACTAAGTGATAATATTGACTCCATATCAGTAAAGGCACATTTTGGATACACTCATATGTATGTAACTAATTTTAAAACTTTACACGCATACACACTCCCTTATTAAGGCACTGAGCTGTATTTCTACCTCCTGTCTTGCATAAAACATTATTTATTTGAAGAAATGTATATCTGTATGGCAGGCTTAACAGGATAGAGCCTTGAAACCTGAATAATAAATGTATCTAAATATGACACCTATTCCAGATTTTAAATGCAGTGTCAATGGCAAAAACTTTCAATGCAAGTTATGTATTTCAAAAATATGAAATAAATGATAGACATCAAATAAAAATACCTATGTTGATGTTTTGTACATATAATGAAGAACAAACGACACTGTAAGGTCAATACTCTTTCTTTTTGTATCTGTTTTATCTATTTTTCTCTCTATCAGTGAAACCACAGTTAAAATAGTTGACGTTTATCCCTCTTTCTTTACAAATCGCCCCACTCCACTTAAGCCCCGCCCGTCCTCAAATCCTATTGGTCAGCCAGTGTGAAAGCTCATCCTGGTTCGATGCTACCGGCCAATCAAAACGTTCAATGTCAAATGGAGCCTTCGAACGCCACGCCCACACGCGCCACTCACAAAGGATGTCGGGAAATTTAGTTTCGCCGGTATATAATAAAACGGACAGTAGCGGGACAGTGAACTACAATCTTCATATCCTGGTTACAGGAGACGTTCACAGACTTCAGTTTGCAGACAATACGAAGAAACGGAAGATAAACCATTTAGCGGTATTACAGTGAACAGTTGGGAATAAGAGGGCAGTGTCATTATGGTATGTAAAGAAATGTGTGTGCGCCAAAAAATATGTTTATTTAATATGCTATAGGTTGCCTTGTACACAGACTGGATGCAGGGAATTAATGTAAGCTAGCGTCAGCTAACGCTTCTTTTCCCGACAAGAGCAGCTCGCTAATAATAGTGGTTCTCCTGAGCTACCTAATCCTTGCTCTTGTTTACTGAGCTCAGTGGGCTTTTTTCTCAACCGGAACAAGTTACCAGCGTTATGTGTTTAACCCGTTACGGTACAGTCTCATAGGTTTGACCGCAGCTTGTTTTAAGTTTGGTCGGAGACATTTGCACGGTTGGTTTGTGGGAATGAGACGTCTGCTGAGATGGGTCATTAATGCCCCTACAACTATCCGGACCATGTGGCTGGCCGTGTCCCCGCTGAGGTTAAAACACACTTCTCTTACGCTGTGCACCTCGTCTTTCCAGGGAGACAGCATTTGCAATGGGACGCACAACAAGAAGGCGTTGCTGTCGGATCCTCAGCTGTTTGAAACCCAGTTTGAGGAGCTGGTGACGGAGCTTGTAGAGAGGGACTTCACCGATCCTGCGCTGGCGGATGCTCTGAGCAGGTTGAGAGAGGTGTGTGTGTGTGTGTGTGTGTGTGTGTGTGTGTGTGTGTGTGTGTGTTGTATTTTAGTGAGTTACTCCTTTCACGTCCTGAACTGTTGTTTCATTTATCTGCATGTTCTTCTCGTAGGTTTTAGTGTACAATTCTCCTGGAGGAAAGAGGAACCGTGGTCTGTCTGTGATTGGCTCACTGAGGGAGCTTCTCCCACCCAATCAGCTCACACAGGACGTAGTGCAGCGGGCTCTGTTGATTGGCTGGTGCATTGAATTGGTAAGGATATGTTCTGGTATGTTAAAAAGGAGAAGTCTGGCAATATTCCTCATTTTTCTTACTATCAACAAATCCCATCAACAGACAAAAACAGGTTTTGCCTGATGTAACCTATTCTTCTTCTGCTTTTTTGACATTTAAATATGTATTTGTAACAGAGAGGTCAGAAAGGACTGAGAAACATACTGATGCATAGTTGGTTTTGGTCTTTTCACAGTATATGTTGACAAGAAGAAAAATATAGAATAACATCACCTGTATGTATTATAATTGAGCTTGTGGTACTGTACCATCTTTTGTGTAATAAATCATGGTCAGATCTCCATCGTCAGAGATGAAATCTGACACAAAGGTGATGTTAATAGAGCATAGACACTGGTTTATTATACCTCAAACCAATAAATTATCCTCATGTCAAATCTGATCTCTGCCATATTAATTTATTTTAAGTTTTTTTTTTGTGTTTCCCAGTGTGTCGCTAAAACTTCAGCTCACAAGCACAGACTCAGACTAATGACACTTTACAAGGGTGTTACGTTCTCTAAGTCATTACGTGTTACAACTGTGTCTCTGTTGCTCGCAGCTTCAGGCATTCTTCCTGGTGGCAGATGATATCATGGATGCATCTGTGACTCGGAGAGGACAGCCCTGCTGGTACAAGAAGGTGAGACTTGATATATAGAAAAATAAATGTTTTGTTGTAGTGTGGTTTATTTTTCCTGTATTACTAGTTTGATCTGTTTCTAAGGTGAATCCTGTGTGTTTGTTTTAAAGGATGGAATTGGTCTGGATGCCATCAATGACTCATTTCTTTTAGAAGGGTCAATCTACAGACTACTTCGCAGACATTGCCGGGATCAGCCTTACTACGTCCACCTACTTGAGCTATTTACTGAGGTACTATACGTCCTGATTGATAACACATAACACAGACAAACACAGAATTCTTACTGTGTCTTCGTTTGTTTCAGATATCTTTCCAGACAGAACTCGGCCAAGCTCTGGACCTCATGACTGCTCCCCCTGGTCAGATTGACCTCAACAGATTCACCATGGAGAGGTAGTGAAATAAAATCTGTAAAGCAAAGTGGCAGAAAAGGATGTTGGCTACCAAAGCAAATAGGTGTAATTCTTTCTCTCTTCGTCCTTCAGGTATAAAGCTATTGTGAAATACAAGACCGCCTTTTACTCTTTTTACCTCCCAGTTGCAGCTGCAATGTACATGGTGAGTGTGTTTACATTGTACACACTTGACAAAAGTGTAACAGAGTAAAAGTAATAGAGTAACGTCCTACTCCTTACCTTACTCTTGTAGGCAGGAGTTAAGAGTGAAGAGGAACACAATAATGCCAAACACATCTTACTTGAGATGGGAGAGTTCTTTCAAATACAGGTAATTACACATCATCCCGCTTTCACATCACATAATGAACTAGAATCTTACCTCTGCCAAGGCCAGTAGTCCAATCTTCTGTGATACGCAAATCTGCAAGGATATACGTATTACAAAGGACTTACAATGTTAAATTAAGTGACACCAACTTTCATGAAAATCCGGCACGTAGTAGTTTTTCCGTAATCCTGCTGACAGACAAACAAGCAAACGGCACCGAAAACACAACCTCCTTGGCAGAGGTAATAACATGCTGTCAAATATACAGAGTTAATAACCACCCAATGTGTTTCGTTTGCAGGATGACTACTTAGACTGTTACGGAGACCCTGCTGTGACAGGAAAGATTGGTACAGACATCCAGGATAACAAATGCAGCTGGCTGGTGGTGAAGGCCCTGGAAATCATGACTCCCGAACAAAGAGCAGAGCTGGAGGTGGGACTTTAGATAACAACCCTGTCTGTTTCAACACTTTAAAGGTTACATATACGAAATGTGCACTAGAGCACCAGAATCTCCGACCAAACAATGCGACAGAAATAAAACTGTCTTTGTAAGTCTTTCCAACAATCACCAACACAGGTTTTGTTTAAATCCTTTAAAGTCCTTTTGTTTAACAGCTGTAATATCGCTATCATGTATCATGTAAGCATGTAATTTTACCTTACATATCATTGTAACATCACAACTTCATTCAAAGACAGAAAAAAAACTGTCTTTGTTAGTCCACTGTTCCAACAATTATAAACTCTTGGTTCAAATAAATCCATAATTCAACCAGATAGATGAGAGAAACTGCAGTTTCAGTTGCTCTACCCAGCTGCACATGCCCATGTAAACAAACCATAGAGAGGCTGCAATAGCAACACAGTTGCTTTATATCTTTACATAGCAAATTGTTGTCTGCTGCTATATTAATGTTTTAAAACTCATATGTATAATCTTTAAATATGTACCAAGAGTTGTATGCATGGATCTTGTGGCTCTCACACGTGTGGGAGTGCACTATAATACATTGTTAATATACTTTGGAGGTTTTATTCACTGTTTCCGTCACAAAAACATCAGACAGAATATTAAAAACATTAGTATCGCTTATGCAGCAATATAAAAACAATTATATCATACATTTAAATTAGAGCAATGACCTGCTCACAGATTCTCTAATTTGATTTAACTGTAAGTGTAAGTTTGTGTACCACTATAAGAAATTATTTCCTACTTTTAAACTCTGCAAATAAAAATGCTTTGCAGCAATAGAAACTTTATTTATTGTAATAACTTATTTCTGAGCCCAAGGTATCCATGTTTTATGTTTATCTTTAGACTCCTCAGTGTGTACGGTGGCCTCTGATCCCACCTTTTTCAGAAGTACTACTAGAGTCACCAGTACATCAGCAAAACTTAATTTCACCTTCACCTCCTCCTCAGGCATGTTACGGGCGCCACGATGATACCAGTGTAGAAAAGGTCAAAGCGCTGTACAACACCTTGCAAATGCCAGCACTGTACCACGGATATGAAGACGAGAGCTACCAGCGGCTACAGAAACTCATCGCTTGTCACGCTCAAAATCTTCCTCACTCAGTCTTCCTCAACTTTGCCAAGAAAATCTACAAGAGGAACAAGTGAGAGGGAACGGTGATGAAGAGGGTCAGGTGCATCAGCCCGGTTCACTTTTGACTTTTATCACAACACACAGATGAACTCATCTCTCTTTTAAAGAGGGTGTTTTTTCAGGGACAAGGCTCTGACTACAAACAGCATGACCCGAACACCGCTGTGATATTTAGAAATCCTGCAGGCAGTTTCTTAACTTTGCAATGATTTGTAGATATTTGTGAATGTTATCAAATGGCCTGTCTCTTTTGTTCAATGTTTAGTTATTGAACCCAGTGCATGACGTGCAGTGTCTCCACTCATGTCCGCTGAAGAATATGATGTCTCTAAGAGTGACACTGAAATTAATCGCACAAGGTCTACCTGTCATATTTGTCTGCCCTGAAGAACACATGGCACTGGAGATAGAAATGAAATCATTTATTTTGTAGGACTGGATGTATGAATTGATTATGGACTTAAAGGGACAGTACATATATGATAGTAGACGTACCCTGACAGAGAACAAAGGGTCAAACTTGATCAGTTTTCTCATTCCATTTATTTTTATATTGCTGCTATAAAGTCTGTACTGGCCAGAATGTTGTTGCTTTTAATAAATAATTTATGAGCAGTATTTTTCTTCTCTGTTTTTTTTTTTTTTGTGTTGGCTGTAGAGCAGAAAGTAAACAAATTATATTGAAAGTCAGTTAGTCACCAGTTATTTCTCAAGCAACAATGCCAAAATCTTTCTAGCTCTTTTAGATGTGCAGATTTGATGTTTTTGTTTGTTATATATGATATATATTTATATATATATATAAATATCTTTGGGTTTGGAACTTTTCTTTAGATAATAATGTGTTTTTAAGGCATCAATTTGGGCTCTGACAAAATATAATGGGCATTTCCTGAATCGTTGACTAAACAATCTATTTATCAAGAATTTTATAGACAGATTGATAAATAATGAGAAGAAGCCATAGTTGGCTGCATATGAGGTTTGAACGTTAGTTAACTTTCTTGAAGGCAGTCTAATAAATGCACGAACGCAGATTGCAGATAATTTATTAGAAATAAAAGCAAATGAGAGTCTCCGTCTGAACGCAGGGCTCCAAACCAATTATTGGAAGGAGGTGAAGCTGAAAATGACTCGAGATAAATTGGATGTGATGATAAGGCAAGCAAGGGGTGTGGTTTGGTTGGGGATGGAGGGGGTGGGTGGTGGTGATTTGGGGGGGGTGGTACATCCTCGCGAGAAGACAGATGCGAGGCTGTTAACGTCGGAGAGAGATTCACATTCTCACGGACTGGGATGTGAGAGAGCCCGATGAGATGGAGACCTTCATCCATCTTTACCTGAATCTGATCGTGAGTCGAGACCTAATTTATAATATTTGTGTATATTTATATATATTTTGTTTTCAGACGAACCAGAATTGTCTAGTCGGATAAGCAAAACCTCCCATTCCCCCACGGAGCCTGCGTAGATCATGCCATTCCGCTATTAACAGTGATTTTTCTTGACTCGTTTTTAGGTAAAAATGTATTATTATTTTATGTTTTAATTGGGATCTAAATATGATGTGTATTATTTGAGTTATAACAGGGGCGGAGGGGCCTGTATATCAGGGCGATGCGGTTGGAGGTACCCTCCTCCCCCTCCTCCTCCCATCCTCCCTGTCTCCATCAGCTCTGTGGGATCAATACATGCAGGGGTAAATACTAAGCAGAGGACGGGTTAAATTACATGTGATGATATGCTGTTTTCTTGTTTTATTCCATGGCTTTGTTGGCTTTATTGGCCATTCCGACGAAAGGGCCTGTGTAAGCAAGCACTTGAGTGATTTATATTCCTCAGTGATGTGAAGGGCACTGTGGAGGAATATATGAGCAATAGCCGTCGGTAAATGTGCTTTAAAGAAAAGGCAGACTCGGTGTTGTGCAGTGCTGCTGCATGATTATTTCATGCTCCAGTTAAATCTGCTTTTTATGTTCAGTCATTGCTTTAGGTGTGGTATGTTTTTTTTAAACGACATTTCTTTTGATCTACATCTTGCTGCCTCTTGTCAGCTTGTAAGGATGGACTGGCACAGATGGAGACAGCTTGACTACTGTAAACTCATGAATATCAGTGCTCAGTGAAGCTGAACATGACTGATGCAGATGATGAGTGACAGCTATTAAGCTATAAATTAGCTGACAATTATTATCATTAGGATCATTTCATGTGATATGTGTGTGGGTGCATGTTTGAATTTGAAAAGATAGATGGATCTGAAAAAAACGAGGAAACAGTACAACAGATGCATACAAATTGAGTGGCGCTTGTTATGTAGATTTTCAACTATTTGTTTTAACCAAACAAGTTCATAAAACATTTTAAATGTTATTACAGAAAATTTGTAGAGAAGCACTTCCTACTGCATTACAGAAATTTAGCCACTGTAATACTGGAGAAAACATTATTTAAGGGCTGCAACTACAAATTTTGTCATTATCGAATGATCTGTCGATTATATTCTTGATGAAGCATTTTTGTCTATACAATGGCAGAAAAAAGTTCTCAATAACCATCACTGTTTCCGAAAGTGATGAGTCAAAGGTGACGTCTTCAAATGCTTTGTTTTGTCTGATCAGCACTCCAATACCCAAAGATTTTTACTACCATAAAAGACCATATATAGTCCCATTTGAGAAGCTGGAACCAGTGGATGTTTAAGAATTTTTATGAATAAGCAACTATTTGATTCATTTTCTGTAATTTAGTTGACTAATTGTTTCAGCTCAAATTACTTTCCTTAAGCAGCGATGCTTGATTTAGTGGGTTTTTTTTTTTTTACAGGACTGTGTGAGAGGCAGTGTGTGTGTTCATATCCCTGCTGTGTCCTCCCCGGACTTGGGCTGTGATAATTATAAAACAGAAAAGCCCAAAAGCAATTGAGCTTAATGAATGGTCCAGATGATGGGTTTAACTTCAAAGACTTAGCCTTATATGAAAACATTTGTAGAGCAAGAAAACTTCTTTGAAGAGCTGAATTTGCTCGTAGTCGTTAATCACTGTGTGTCTTTTTTGATGTTGCAGGATCTTGGGAGTCAAGCCAAGATGTGACCGTCACGGCGCGTCATAGTTTGGATCTGCCCAGCCTTTACAACACTTGTTTCTATAGCAACAGAAATATTACAGTATCCTAAAAACTCCCATTCCCACAATGCAGTCCTCTAGCTGTTCCTCTCAGCCTCCAAAGCCACGGCGCTTTGACGTCAGCAGGCGGACCAATGCTTTAGCTGCACCAAAGTCTCATGGCCCTGGTTTTCAAAGGGAGGATAAAAACATGAACACAATCACCACATCCTCCCCACGCCGGGCTACTAAAGGCCCCACTGCACCCACCAGGACCAGGGTGGTGGTGCAGCCTCGAGCACCCGTAAGCCAGTCAAGGTTTGCTTCACAAAAACAGGTTTCAACCATCTCTAAAGCAACTAAGCCCAAACCCAAGAGTGCTCGCGCATCGGCAGCAACCAAAATTGCACCAGCAGCCGCTCCTCCTCCGCTTCCCTCGGTTCTCCCTCTTGACCCCAATTGCAACGAGCCCAGCCTCCCGTGTCTGTGCTGCGATGGGCGCTCCCCGCAGGACAACAACAGTATGTTCAACCATAACCACAACAACAACAACACCATCTCTATCAGACAGCAACTGCAGCTACCACCTCCACCGGCCCCGTTGCCCCAGAGGCAGGATGGGAAAGGGGCCAAAGAGCAGCCTCAGCCTCCTTTGCAAGCACAGGCCCAGCTGGAGCCCTCTGCTTGCCCTGCTGCCAGTCTGGAAAATGAAGGCAAGAATGCAGATGAAAGTGCTGATCTGGACAACAAGAAAAATGTAAAAGTTGAGGAAGAAGATGACGAGGAAGAGAGCAGTGGGGACATTGATATTGACGATGATGAAGAGGAGGCTGACAATGACGACGACGACGAAGATGACGACACCCTGGTCCCCTCTTGCTGTGACTGTCCCCCCTCCCTCCTGGAGTTCTCGCTGTCCTCCTCCACCTCCTCGTCCTCCACTTCTATCAGCTCCTGCTCTGATCTGGAGTCTGACTGTGCAGATCAATCCACCTCCATCTGCTCTTCCCACGACCAAGATAATATATCCGTCGCTCTGTCCCCCAAAGAGCAATCTCTTCCACAAGCACCTGAATGCCAGCCTCCTGCACGTTCACCCCCATCCCTTCCTCTAAGCCGCAATCCATTCTCCTTAACGTCACATTCCCCGATTCCCCCTTGCTCCCCAGATGAGGGCTACCCCTCCGCCCTGGACTCCCCTTCTCCTGACTACTTAGGAGTCAAAGGTGATTCTGAGGTCACCAAACTAGGCTTGCTTGACTTTCTAGAATCAGTAGGGGAGTTTGGAAAAATGGAGCGCTTCAGCCAGGTGATCCAAGTGGCTCGTTGGGATCTGGAGGGGGAACAACACTGGGATGTTCTGAGGGATCGGCTAGATCACCTGGATCGCTTGGAGAAGGTGAACAGGGAAGTGAAACTGGCCTATGTCGCCAGACTCCACGAGAAGGGATTTGATCTTGGAGATCTGGAAGAGCAGGATCTCTCAGATGTCATGGATGAAATGGGCAACATCGACATTCCCTGGAAGTTGTATAAAGGTCGCGGAGGAACGATGGGAGACTCTCAGGAGTTTTCAGATGCAGGGGTTGATCTCACTGCTCCATCAGACTGTGATGAGCCTCTTGTTCCTGATTCCCTCACCCCTTCCCCTGTCGAGCCACCACCCAGACCCCCCAAACCTCCTGCGCGACATGCCAGCGTGAGCTCTGATCTCCACACCTACATCAATATAAGCAGGGAGACCACCTCCATGGCTGTGTCCACCTCTCCTACTTTGACAACTTTCTCCCCAAACTCCTCATCCCCCACATTCACCACTTTTAGGTGTGAGAAACCCCTTCCTCCATCTCCACCATCCATTCCTCCTCTCCCCACCTCTAAACCAGTCCCTTACTTCACACTCTATACCTCTCCTTCTCCACCGCCGTCTGTTCCCACCCCGACTCCGCCTATTCCTCCCCCTCGGAGGCGCCACCTCGCCAGGAAGGAGGCGCAGCGGCTCGCTGCTCTTCAAGCCGAACAGGAAAAGACCCCCCTTTCCCTTCCTCCTCCTACCACACGTCCCCCACCTCTACCTCCTCCCCCAGTTATCTCAGTCTCCTCCTCATCTCCCCCTGCTATACCACCCCCACCTGCCCTCCCCCCTCCCCCCTCCTTTCATGCACTGGATGTGGAGATTCGGAAGCTACTGATGCTTGCTGGATTGACCCAGGCTGAGCTCCTCAAACTCAGCCCGGAGCTTGGTGTTTGCGTCGGTGGGTTAGAGGATGAGGAAGATGGAGAAAATGTTATCTCGTCCAGGTCTGTGGAGCCACATCAGTTCAGGCTAAAAGAGAGGGAGGATGAGGAGGAATGTGACACAGAGTTGATGACCAGAGATCGATGGAGCAGCAGAGCAAGCAAGTTGGATGGGGATCGAAGGGTAGATATAGCCGAAGAAGGCAAAAAGAAAGAGGAGAGCAAAGACACACAGAGAACCACGTCATTCACTGAGATGGCGAGGAGAAGGAAGAGGAACAGCGGTCTGACTTCTGACTCTTACTATAGCACTGGGGTTAGCAATACACATGAAACTAAAGAAAAGAATATGAGCTTTGAGTCTTTCCGGTATCCTGCTGAGTTACCAGATTCACCTCCCCCTCCTCCTCCTCCGCGCCCCTTACCCCCAATCCCCCCCTCTCTGCCACCCACCAAAGTCAGCACTCTCCCTGCCAACTCTGCACAACCTGAGCGATTTGATTGGCTCATAGCATTCACACCTGATGGTGAAGCCCCACCGCAGCTTCCACCCCTGATAATGAGAAAATCTCATATGGAAACTCAAAAGAAGCTCATATCATCAGGATCATCTCCAGCGATAGCTCCCAAGACCACAACTTTCAAAGAGCTGCGTTTCCGCAACAAGAGCGCCTCCCCCTCAACAAAAGTGATCACTGACCCAGATCCTGACCCAACAGTCATTACTCCAGATCCAGACATACTGTACAACCTGAGGTGGAGAAGAGAGAAGGCAGGCAGCGATGGCAACCAATGGGAGTACACCTCTCAAGCTCAGGCCTTCTTCATGCAGCCACCACCAGCCCTCACCTCAATGGCTGCTCTGAAGGAAATGCTCCAGAGAGCTGACAAGGAGGGTGGACAACTAGAGCTGTGCCCATCACAGAAGATTGGCTGCTCAGCCAGTGACAGCAGCCTGTGGACCATGGGCAGAGAGTGGGAGTGTGAGGACATTAAGAGTGAGGAAAAGGAGGGGAAAGAAGAAGAGGAAGAGGAAGAGTTGGAGGTGAGAGGACTAGCCGATGGAGGAAGGACTTTGGAATCAAGAACTACAGGTGAGTAGGTATTTCCATGACGAGACTGAATCTAATCACGTTGGGGAAGGGGTCTGTGCGTGTGTATGTGCATTTGTGTGTGTGTGTGTGTGTGTGTGTGTGTGTGTGTGTGTGTGTGTGTGTGTGTGTGTGTATAGGAGAAAATAAACAAATCAGTGTAACCCAGTGTAATTTGGACGACGACAAATCTGGAATGGGCAGATGATGGAGAGAAACAGATGGGGGAAAGACAGACAAACAGTCAGCTTGTTCACTTCAGTGATGAACAAATAATATCCTTGGACTGTAAAATAGGAGGAGGTGAAAACGTTGACTCATTTATGGAAAATATGTATGGAACGAGAGCGAAGAGTACGGAGGACGAGCATGAGTCACAGAAAGGGATGATGCGTGATATGATGGATAAGTGATGAAGGGGGATAAACAGAGGGTGATCTCACAGACGGGAGAAGCGAACAAGACAGTGGAAGCTGGAGAGGGAACATGAGCAACAGCTTAAAGAGATGTAGGGATAAAGACAGCGAAGAAAGTGAAGGTAATATGAGGAGAAAGAGGAGGTTGGAAACTTTCCAGCCAGTATGTCCTGCACTGGTTATCAGAGTGTGATGTCATCACTGCCTTATTCAATTATTCATCCACTCCTCAGAGCAAGGGGGAGAGGGATAATGGAGTGCCCACTGAGCTCACTACCTTTCTCCTCCCTCTTTCTACCAGCTCAACTCTCTTCTGCTGTCTCTTTCTCTCCTAAAATCTCGTCCTGCTCCTCTTCCTCTGCCTCTTTACTGGTTTTAAATCCCATTAACGTGGGATGCCTAATATGCTTTTGCTGTCTATTCCCCCTGCTCCCTAGAGTTGCACAGATAGCTAAGATCAAGTTACCTATCTCATGCAGTACTGCAGCAGGCTACATAGACACTATTAGTTTGTCAGTGTCTACATACAGTAGGGCGTATAGTTTAATTGTAATTGCTCATGTTCTCCTGCTGCTAATTCCAAGTAGTTAAGTAAAATTGATACGTCATTATTTTAGCATTACTTCGGGTTTTACCTTTGCATTCTGATTATAAAAGTCAAATGAATTACTAATGAGGTACATGCTGCAACAATAGGTGTGTACACCTTTAAGAGACCAAGGGGTGGGTCTTTGTGCATGAACCAATTGCTGAGAGCTAGTGCCAGAAAAATAGGAAGTATCATGTGTTAGTTACAGTTCAAAGACAGCCCAAGTCTAACCAAGGTATGGTTGCTTTTCAGCTCATTTTGTAGCCCATAACCGAGCAGTCTTGTCTCAGGTAATTTGAGTGTAGTGAAGCTTCTGTTGCCACAGTCTCTCTGAATCTTAACAGAGACAGACATGGTGATTGAGCAGGAACGGACAGACCTCAGCTGTCTGTTGACTGACTCAGCATTACACTGTATGCTGTACTGCTGGAGAGAGGGGAGGGGTGGTGGGGAAGGAGCTACATAGAGAGAGAGAGAGAGAGAGAGAGAGAGAGAGAGAGAGAGAGAGAGAGAGAGAGAGGTATAAAACAAAGGCAGACAGAAGAGAAAGAGAGGGAGAGAGAAGGTGATCCAGAGGTGATGGTGGCACGCACTGCAGTAAAGTTAGCGTAAATATTGGAACTCACTGTGCTCTCTTGTGCTTAATATTCATAGCTCTCAACACAAGAATGAAAGTGAAAGCAGATGCCGTAAAGAAAACTTGGATCCTATTATGATGAATCTTTGCGATTGATAGTGGCATTTTAATTACGGTGTCATCGGGGGATGAGTGGCTGATTGACAGATTAAGTATTTCTACTGTGCAGCTGTGAGATTCTTTAATGGCCCCGGTATCATTTCCTGTTGTGTTAAACCCTTTTAAATGAAAGACTGTGGTTATTGCTCTTCATAAATCAACTCCATTGACTCTCATGCACTGTCAATGTGTAACTGTCAATCAACTGTTTGACTTGTTTAAATACTGCATTACTGCATGATGTTACATGATGACGATTTCTGCTGGAGTACACTCATGAATGTGCATTTTTCTCTCGACAGACACTAACATTTTCTGCATCTCTCTCTCCTTCCCATTTCTTTGCCACATTTTTTTTTTCCTTTAATCTTCCTTGTTTTTCTCACCTAACCATCCCATTCTGTTGTTTCCATTGTTTGTCCATGGCTTCGCTTTGCTCCCTCATATCACTTTGCCTTTGCGCTTGCCTTCTCCATCCTGACTCCGGCACATTAAAATTTTTGGCCTTTTACCCTTTCCAATAACCAGTTTCCTCCCCCCCACTGTCCCTTGCCCAGTCCTCCCAACCCTACTTCCTCCACACTGCCCTCCCTTCCTATCGCCTAGGCTACTGTAACTCTGAGCCCTTTGCAGATCCCAGACCCCACAGCCATGTAGGCAGGGAGTCCGCAGATGAACACAGCACGAGACAGTGGACCCCTGCTGCCAGCACAGCTCCTGTACACAGAGATGATTCCAGCACTGATTTAAACACAGGGTTTAACTATAAATCCCTGGCCGATTATGATGTAGACTCTCCTTGTGAATATGGGAATATCTTTAACACACACAGGGACTTTGCATCTGACTCTATGTGCAATTTCGACTCTCTCTGCTGCAGTAACTCAGGAAAGCAGAATGACACACACACTAAGTCAGACACACCTGTTAGTGGCCCCACAGATGCTCCAGGTTGCACCACCCCATATAAGAACATTGACATCATGATGACGTATTCAAACAGTATCAGTGCCATGGATTCGCTGTATTCAGAAAAGCGCACACACTCCCACACAAACCATAACAGCAACAAGGCCAGGACATCTAAAGAGCTTCCTCCTCTACCCAGTATTTACCTCTACCACCCTAAAAACTGCCCTCTGCATAGGGGTGCACCTCCTCGCCTCTCCCCTATCGGAGCCCTCTCCCCTCCCCAGCGTTCCGGAGCACCCCCTCCAGGCACAGCAGGCTCCTGCCTCAGCTCCCCGCTTTTCCCCCGCTCTCACACCTTGCCTGCCCTCGCTGCTCCCCTCTACTATCCAAACCTCTACCCTCCTATACCGCCCAGGGCACCCCCCCTACCCCCTAAACTCCACCAGGCTCCTCCGCAGTCGCGCGTGGCGAGTAAGATTTCTCTTTCTCTCTCCCTACATCTTACACTCTCTCTCTTTGTCTGACATCTTGCTCGCATGCATGTTTGTCTTTCTTACTGTCTGATTCTGTCTTTGTTCTCCGCTCTAGATATGGTGACCCTCAAACTTTTTGTCACTCTTTCAACCCAGGGGGATTTGCAGATTTGAAAGAACTGGGTAACTGTAGCTGTTTTATATATCAGAAGGCAGCGCCCTGCAGGTCATTTGATACATCTTATCTACACTGTCCTTTCAAATCTGCAAAGGGCCTTCAGAAGGGTAACAGCTGTTCCTGTCAGAGGGTGTCTAGAGTCACTCTCATCACTCTCTTTCTCTCTGTCTTCCTCTATCTGTCTGTTTTTGTGTCGGTCTTGTCTCGTCTGTCTACCTGTTGTTTTTGTTTTCTTTTTGTGAATGTTGAAATTGAAACATGCATTTCATGCCAAGCACAACCCAAGTAGCTTGTTGAAGATGAATATAAATAATTATTTAAGGTAACCTTTTTAATGATTGTGTGTGTGCATTCAAAGTAATTAAGGTCCACTGCATCCTGTTCATTATAAGAATGTCTGTATTTATATAACTAGTTTATATAAATCCATTTATAGAAACATCACACTCAACACAACACCTGCCCTTTGCACATGTATGTAATTATCTGACCTGACTGATGTGGTAGCTTATACAGTTGTTTCCCCCCTAGCTCTTCACTTACCTCTATGTATGCTTATGCTTATATAATGAGTGTATTTGTGCGTTTGTGTGTGAGTCAAGATTAATGCATGGGATCCTGTTTATCCCTGATGCATACAGAAAGTTGTCTTAATAGATACAGATGTTGAAAGCTCACCAATATTTACAGGGTGTCCTTACACACTGTTTGTTGACAGTAGTACCATCTGCTTCTATCTGCATACTCCGCTATGCTTCTCATTGCTTAATTGCTCCTGCTAAAAACACAAATATTTTAGTTATGGTATTTCTGTCTGTGGTGATTCATTTAGCTTCTGTTGAATTTGTTTTGTTTTTTTATACTTGTACAGTAAGTAATTGCTCTTTTACTGTCACTGTCAGCTGTTCGCAGTGTCTCATTCGCTGGCTCTGTACAGAGGACAGAGACATCCTGGATGGGCGAAGATGTGAAGCATCCAATGAGAGGTCTGGGCCTGTCCTCTCTGTGCCTGCAGGAAAAAAAAGGTCTGTGTCTCACCTGTGTGTGTGTCCACTTGTCCAGCAATGCATCTTTGTCCCTGATGTCTATAGCTCTTACAGTTTAACTGTAGACCATTGTTCTTCCCTCCAGCTCTGGTCAGTGCAGTCAGTGTGGCAGTGGAAGCCATCTTGGCCCAGTTCAGTTCTTCTCGGACTGTAGTTCAGAAGGTCAGTCACTGCTGAATTCACACCACTCGTGGGTTTACGAGAACAGAATGAACTTTTGTTGTTGTTTTTTTGTTTATATTGAAAGTGTTTCTCATGTCACTCTTGATTACAAATCGTTGTGTCGAGCAACAAAGTGGCATCCTGTATTGAACTGATTGTTTATCTTTGAAAATGCTTTCCCTCCATTCCTTCTTGTTCTGACTCTACATATTTTGTTCTGTCTCTCCTCAGTCTCTCTCAGTTAACAAGGTACTAGAATATCTTTAGATAACCCAATCTCGTAGTATTAAGAATTTCCTTTGTTAACTAACTCCAAATTCCCCCTTCCTCCCCAAAATCATCTCTCATCACATCATACTGACCCTTATCGCTCTCTATTTTTCTCAAACCCCCATTTATGTGTCCCATTTTCCTTCCCTCCCTCTCTCTTGAGTCATCCTTTCACATCTATTCTCCCGTCCCTCCCCATCACTGCACATCTTCTTCCTCACTGTATCCCATTTTCCTCTCCTCTCTTCTCCTCTCCTCTCAGGCCTTATCAGGAGACAGCACTATAAATCCGTCTTTGGGCCGTCTGGTGCTGCAGTGCCTATGCCCTGCCCTGCACAGCTTGCTGACCGATGGCTTGAAACCCCACCAGAGTGACCTGATTGCAGGCAGGAGGCCAAACTCTGCCTGGAGTCTTGTTCAGGCCTCAACCAAGCCAGGTAGATATGGCAAGGATTGTAGGAAAATTTGCATCTATAGATTTGGAAATGATTTCTGTGGGATGATTTTCCCCTGGATCTTAATGATAAAAACTCTGGACTTCGTTTGTCTCTCATTTTCCCACACATCAGTCAATACTTGTTGATTTTAGTGCATAAATGCTGAATAATGCGAACAACAGGATGCAGATATCGATTGGCCTGTGAGTGCCAAGTTTGGCTGAAATTTTTCGCTCACCTCTGCAAGTTCCTCTGTTGAGCCCGTTCTCTCTCTCGCTCTCTTTACATATATTTTCTCAACACATTTTTCAAGGTCCAAAAACACAGGCCTTGTTCACCCTTCAAGTTCGAGTTGGAGAGCTGCCCCAGCTCAGACAAAGCAAACACAGGTTCAACGCATTCCTGCTTGGCCTACTGAAGTAAGTACTGGCTCCTAATCCTCTCTCTGGTGTCCACTGGTAGCATGAAAAGTGCTCAAATTAGTAGTTAAAAAATTAAATATATTATATTTTGATCCGCCTGCATATGCCCTCTTTGTATCCTCAGTTTTCCTCTTTTCTCTGTTTTTTTCTTTTAGTATTAAGCATCTTGATCTCTGGCTGTCCCACCTTCAGTCCTGCAGTGGTAAGTTTCCTTCAGTTACATGTCATCTCATTCCTGTGGCTGTGCATGTATGTAACCCTCATCTCTCTTCCCCTCAGATGTACTGGAGACATATTACCGTCCCACCTCCTTTATGCGCCTGTCACTGACCGCCTGCCAGCCTCTGTTCGAGGAGCTGCTCCTCGTGTTGCAGCCTCTCAGCCTGCTCACCTTCAACCTCGACCTGCTTTTCCAGCACCACCATTTGGAGCCAGACGGTCACAATCCAGAGATCCCCAGTCCACCCTGTCAGGATGCTGGATTCCAGCTTTCAACAGAGGGGTCTCAAAACAAAATCACAGGCTGCAGATATATTGAAAGCCTGTCAGAAGTAGACTTTGGAAGTCCAGAACATCAGGTAGCCAAAGAGAAATTGTCCCCATTGGCTAATCCAAAGAATGGAGGATCAGGGGAGTCAACACATGACAGTGCTGCACCCATAAAGGCTTCGGTCACTCTCGGGCAGACAAGTCCTCAGCTGTTGTGGGTGCAGGAGAAGGAAATTGGAGAGTTACCTCCTCCTGATATTGAGGAGGACAGCCTTGCTCAGCAGGCAGGACAGGTACTCACCTTTGTGGGGTTGTTTAGTTATTGTAGTCAAATACATTTGTGTGATCCTGCAGGGCTGACATTTTTTTTTTAAATCATAGGTGATCCAGCAGGGATGGGGAGCTGTGATGCGCTGGGGAGGCAGACTGAGCCAGAACCTGGCTGAGCTGAACCTGAAAAAGGGGGAGATGAGGACGGATCTGTCAGAGCTCCAGGCACAGAGTGACTTTGCTCCGGTCAGCAGTGGTGCTCAGGTTCCCTGGGGTCTGGGGAGGCTCTTTGGAGCCTCTAAAAGCCCCAACAGCCCACCAGGTCAAATACCACCAACCAGGTTAGCCAATGAATTTAATGCATACATTAGTACATCTTTCTCTCGAGAGATTGTAATGGATTTGTGAATTCAACCACTGTAGTGACTTAAACAACTTCTAAAGTCACTGTTGTACTTGAAATTGTTTTCTGTGTGAATGGTAACTGTCTGTGTTTTTTCTCTGCTCATCTGTCCCACATTGTCTCTTTGTTTTCCCTCGTCATCATCTCGTCCTCTTTCTGTCTGACTCTGCAGGCGTCCTTCTCAGTGGCTGGCTCCTGGGGTCACAGCCCTGACTCGAATGGTGAGCAGCAGCTCCACCCCAATAATAAAGAGGGTCCCAGGGTCCCAGGGAGATGGTCAGCCAGAGTCAGAGAAAGAGGTGGATGCACTGGAGATGAATGACAAACCCAGACCACTCAGGTACAACAGACATAACGTGATGCAGATGGTTATAGAGGGTGAACTTTTGCATTTGTGTTGGCTGAAGTGGAAGATAAATCTCTATTTCAGAGTTGATATCTCATGGATGTTGCATTTTGGCAGTTTTTACAAGCTTCAAAATAACTTAAATTGTCCTGAAGAGTCTATTATGAAAAATATAAAAAACCTTTATTGAATCAGACCTAAAATCTCAGTAGCCCAATTTTGACAAAAACAGATGTTGCTATAATCTAAAGTCAAGATTTAGGATTAATGCCACAAATTTGTATATAAAAAAGCAGTATACACACATACATACACAACAGTACACAATACATCTTCCCTATAAAACCCATCCCTTCATCCCCAACAAGCTTCAACCATACAAATGTGAAATAATAAACCAAAGAAAAAATGACATACACATAAAAAGTAATATGCAGATAATACCACTCATTCACTGTACCATGATTACCTGCACATAAGGGGGCACTATTAGTCACTCAAAACTTTTATCCCAGTGACCAATGAATAATAGAATATAAATAAAAGGTATCCATATTTTCCTAATATTATCAGATTTTCCTTTTATGGTAAATTAGATTTTCTCTAGTTGCAAATGAGACATCTTTCAACCACCCGGCATGAGAAGAAGGTTTTTATTTTTCCAATTATATAGAATAAAATGACGGGCTAACATACAGGTAAATACAAGAGCGTTGTACGTATTGGTAGACTAGGCAGCAGACTCTGGTGTTACACAAAATAATGTCTGTTGGGGGCGCCCCAGAAGCTCACCTGGTAGAGTGCTACGGCTGAGTCCTTGCCGCAGCGGCAAGGGTTCGAATCCAGCCTGTGGCCCTTTGCTGCATGTCATCCCCCCCCTCTCTCTCTCTTCCCCCTTTCTGTCTCACTGGCTGTCCTATCCAATAAAAAAAGAGTGTAAGAAAAATCTGTGTGTTGGGAATCTGTCCCAAGTAGGATCTAACTTTGGATATATTTTGGACACAATGAAAAATAAATTAACTTACATTACATGAGTTCATGTCTACTTCTGGGAGAGTGTCAAAATTTCAAACTTTCAAAAACTATGATTTTGAAAAAGAAGAAAAAACATGTCTTCATCCGTGGCTAGAACAGGATAAAAAAATAGATGGTTAAAAATAAAAACCCTTTTCTTTTTTCTTTCTTATTAAAATGACTTATTTCCCCCTCTAAGAGCCCCAGTGGGTGTAGGAGACACCAGAAGTTCTCCTGTTATTATTTTTGCCTTTGAAAGACTATAACTGGTGACTCACCAGTCTGACATTGAGCGATCCTGCATTGTGACTCATCCAGGATTTGGCTACATGTCAGAGATGACGTTATTGTTTGTGGTTGGTGTTTAATGTAGACCATTTTGACTGAGAAGATCTCTGCTGTCTGTCCTCAGGTCAGTACGAACGCTGTGTGACCACACCGGAGCAGGCTCGGAGCTCACCTTCCGCAAAGGGGAGGAACTTGTGGTGTTAGGAGGAGTCGATCAAGACTGGATTCGCTGTCGTCAGGGAGATAACGAGGGGCTGGTGCCTATTGGCTACACCTCCCTCATCATGTGACTTCGATACCATAACTGCTGCACTAAATCAATAAAAAAAGCAAAATAAATATATATATATATATTTTAGGCGAGTATTGAGAGGTTGTGGTGAGGCTCCATTACTCTGAAAGGGATATTTCACGCTTGCATGGTTAGAGTTTAAATTGAGTGCATAACACCATCTGTTCTGCTTTACGTGCATCAGGAGCAGTCTGCAACCCTCTCCCTTTATGAACATATGGGTGTTTTTTCCCATCACAATCCATCCAGTTTGGTAGCATTAAACTAATGGATTTTAACAGCAGGAATGCAGCAGATGGTGTGAAATAATGACTCAAGTCAAATTTAGATCATTTCCTACTGGAAGACCTTTGATCTTGGAGTGAAGTATCCCTTTAAATGTCCTTTTCTCAATTTCTGCCTTCCTTGTCAGCCACTGATCTGAACATGATCACGGGGAAATTCTGTGCAATCAACCACTAGCAGATTCAAGTGCTTTCAGATCAGTGGCTGCCTGTTGTGAGGCGGTGACAGTCGACAGCCTGGTAGTAGCCACGTTAATATCTCTAGCCGTCAGCCGTAGAGAGTCGTGGCATGCAGGTTGTCGAGTTGAGAGAGCATGTCAGAGTACTGGGCCGTAGCTCCTGTTGCATACTGCGTAGTAATGTAGTGAATTGTAGCTGTGTAGATCTGTGTTATGACCTTTCACCCCTATTGACCTCTCACCTTTATCGCCTGGTTCATGTGTGTTTGACATGTTTCTGCTAATATATTTGACTGTATAAATATACATAAAAAAAATATATAAATAGGTATATAAATTGAGATTGATATTACCAAGATAGATAGAAAGATAGATGAACAAGAGAAAGCAGACAGTGAAACACAAGCTTAACACTGTGGCCACATTGAGGAAGTGGATGATTAAAAATGAATGGATTCATTCTTTATCTTTACATCTTCTGCAACTTTACACACATTAAGTGGTTGTCATACATGCAAAAAAAAGAGGAATATGTGTTTGTTGTATGAAATCCAGTATCTTCCCTCCTATGTGCTTTATGTATTGCCAATGTCTTGACATCATATTCATAAAATATTTAGATTTAGCCTCATACCATAAACACTGTATGCATTGTAATGTGCCATGAATGCTTTGAATGAATGCCAAAAAATATCTATCCCACACACTTATCAGACAACAGCAATCTGTAGCTAATCTCTCTACTCATCCAAAACCTCAAAGGGCCAACGTGTGTTGGAATAAACACCTCACAAAACTATGCTCAGCTCTTGTTCAGCACTATCTGACCATAAATTTAATGCAGTGAGAAAATCCCAGATGTATGTAATTCATCATGCTACTGTAAAGTCTGTAGGTTTGGTGGCTGGTCTTCACCTCGTACCTCAGCTTTTGTATTTCTCTTAACCCTTCCTGCCATGTTTGCTTATCATAATCATTGATATTAATGATAGTGGTAGTGGTGGAAGTGATTTGTTGATTCTAATGTTGCTCATATGAAACACATTACTTATTTATTGGTTATTCTCTAGATTCTGTATTGATTACTATGCATATGGTTAAATGTACAACTAAAAGCCTTGTTTGATTTTAAAGTAATTTAGATTTGATGTTCTCATGCAAGTTGGCACATGATGCCTAAAACAAAAGCTTAAATAGTTAATATAAAAAGAAAGTGATTTTAACTGGTCACTAAAGGACCTCCAGGAAAGTTTAATTTCTATTGATGAATCAGGGAAAGCTCAGTTCTTGAAAGTTTCCTCATGTTATTGTGTCAATGCCATGTAGCATGACATTTCTGTCACTATGGCAACTGTCCAGTAGCATTCAGTTAAGCCAGTGCTCATACCTTGTAACTTCTAATCCCAATAAAATGCCATCAAATGGATAATCCCTAGGTGTTTACAAGAAATAATGTCTAGATAGAATATAAAATATCGGTTGATGCATTAAAATGTGTCAACAAGTTTTTGTTTTTTTGTTTGGTTTTGTATTATTTTGTTCAAATGTGAGGTTATGGTCTAAATGCATTTGTTTAAAAGCTGTTAAAAAAAATGTACTATTTATTGATATTGAGGGAATAGCTCTATCTGACCCATCTAGTGTCTCTCTATCTATCTGGGTTCATTATCTGAGTGTGTGTGTGTGTGTGTGAGCGTGGATATGGCAGCGTATGTGGCAGTGAAAGCAGAGATGAGTGTGAACACATCTGTGTGTCTGCACATCCTGCACTTTCACTTATGTGTGTGTGTGTAAAATGATGAGTTCTGTACCTCCTCTTCCTCCTCTCTTTCTCTCTCTGGTGTCATGTAGCCTGTAGACATCCCCCCCCCCCCGTCCTACTATTGCATATAGTTCAGTGCCCCTATAGTGTCAGTCACTGTCCACCTCCTGCATGTGCTTGTTTGTAAATACACCAAATAAAATGATCAGTATAAACCAAACCTGCGCAACTGTTTGAGTCACATCGTTGGGCTTACATTTATGTTAAAGAGTTTATATGTTAAAGCATCATGGGGAAATGTAGAGGATCTCACTCAGAAAACATAAATGACATGTCCTGTTATTTGTTATCTTGAATGTAACAGGAAACTACGTACATGTGTCACGTTGCAAAGGAAGTGAAGACTCACAATTGAGCCTTCTTTAAAACACTTTTAATACCTAACTTCATCCGTTTTAAATTCACAGGGAATTCTCTCAATTCTTTGCTCGGATGAAAAGATCCCCAGATGCCCTCGGATGTGGTGAAGGGCAGAAAGAGGAGAATAAATCCCCAGAGTGAGCTGCAGCCCTCCCCCATCTTGTAACCGTGTTCCTTTGATAGCGTCCTCCATTGTGGGTCATTATGGAGGACAACACAGCGTGAGATATACAATCTAACACCACTAGATAGCACTGTTAGCTCGAGCTGATTAAAATCACTGCAGTAACAGGACAAGGCATTATAACTGATAGACCAATAGTCTGCAGGGTTTAGTACTAGTAGACATAAAATGCTTTTATTATTATGATTATAGAGGCAAAAAGTCTGAGCTGACATTCTATGGCGTTGAGTTATAACTTTGTTTTTGATGTTTTTTTTCAGATGCACATTATCAGAGGCAACAGGCAAAGGTTACATGTCATGCAAACTAGATAAATAACTCTTTATGTGTACCTTTGCTATAAAGTTAATCATCCACTGGCAATAATGTAGTGCTCTTAGTTAAAAAAGGAAAGAGGAAAAATATACATACAGTATGTAAACAGTCAAAGAAATTGCACTTTCTTGGCTTGTTATTAGAAGCCACACTACTGAAAGAGAGCAGAAATTTAACACTGGAACTAATTCACTGTCACTGATTGTCTGACCAATAATTAAAAACAAAAAAAACAAAACAACGTACACTCAGCTAACAAAAAAAGAGACAAATTATGTAAGTCTACAAAAAAATCATATACAATCATAGTCAATTTTAAGGAGAAATTACTTATATATTGGTCAGCTGTATTATCTGTTAAAACATGTTAGTAAAATGAAAGATTTGATTATTAAGTTTTATGTATAATCCCGATAGTATTGTCATGTATAATACTACTTTTACACGCTACTGCTGATAGAAGGAAAACAGGTCTCTCTCTATGTACATTCACATGAAACTAAACGCTTATGGTTACTTCCACTAAGCAGATTAGCCCAATGCTCCTAAGATGAGAACAATCTACTATGCAACTGTACAGAAAAAAATGACCTCCAATCCTCAAATATTCACAACTTAAAAAACATAACAAAGGAAGTCCTTATATAGTCCTTATCGGATGAGATATTGCTTTTAAAGACTGCATGAGTTCGCTTAGGTACGTACACAAGACAACATGGCACTTTTACAGAGCATTTGGGGCAAATCAATTCTAGTTTTCGTTCCCTTTCCTCTCTCCTTTCTCCGCCCGAGGACATTCTGATTGTCAATGCTCTGGAGCAAAGAGCGAAACATTCTCAAAGGCAGTCTGAAGTAAACAAAACACTTTTTACCCCTCTCCCTCCCTTCCCCAGGAAGCAATACTGAAAATAGTCAACAATAAACATTCCTATCATGAATATATTTTGTCCATTTCTTTAGCAGACAGTACTCGAGGCTGTCTTTTTTTTTTTTTCAAAAATAACTTCTTTCTTAAAACCTCATTAGAAATTCTCTTGCAGTGATGCCAAAATTCCTATCACTAAGCCCACCCCCTCCCCTGCCTATTCACTGGTACATAGCAGACACTGTCTTGGTAAAGTGAAGAAAAACCCTAACACTGTCTCAACAGCCTTTAACTGGTTCACTTCTACTCGTGTCATTTCCCAAAGGTGCAATGTGACTTTGAAAGCTTAATGATTAAATGAGGGTTCAATTTTGACCTAGTTTGGGCCCAGGCTACATTTTTATTCCCTCGGGCAGTTTGTGAACTCCTCGTCTCTTGGAATCTTCAGAGCCGAAATGCTGAGTACCGTATATGTCCACTTTCAGTCTCCGAACGACGTCTGTCTTTCCCAGTTTGCTTAAGGTGCCGAAGTAAGAGCAATCAGAGTGTATGTGTGTTTATAGTGTGTCCACTCAGCATACATACAGTCTTTAGTGTGCTTGTTCATCCAGCACTAGTGCAAATTCATTTCAGCTGGTCTGTTTCTTTCTTTCATCCGGGACAGTCCATCTCCGTTTCTCTCATCCCTCGACGCTTGGACAAAAGATGTGTTGCCATGGTTTCATCCTCGGTGTGATGCCCTTCAGAGCGCTAAGTTCAACACACTCATCTGTCAGTGTGTGAGATGTCTTTCTTGCATTTTCAGCCGCAATAATTCTCCCGCTCTCTTCTCCCTTTCTCCCTTGTTCTCTGTGGCACTACTACTAGTAATAGCAGTGTTATGACATCAATCCCTTTCCATCTGTCCAGTGGTGGGCCTGGTCCCTTTCTCAGAGTGGTCCCACCTACATAAAGGCAAGAAACTATCAACAAAACCGTGCGTATACCTCTCTGAGTCCCCCCTGCTTCTGTATCTGATGCTTCACTCACCTCTCTCTGTTAGCTTATGAATGCTGCAGGGTCAAAAGTAAATCATTCAGCCGTTTCCTCCTCTGTTCTCTGCTGCAGACCTCTTCTTCCCCTCGTTTTTCTTCTTCTCCCTCCTCCTCGTTTCTGTTCTGGGTTTTGGTGGGCTGTGGTGAACAAGTATGCACAATTAATTGCAAAAGCAGATTTTTATCCTTGTGGAAATTCTTAAAAGAAAAATATTGTTTTTCTTTTTTTTTTCCATGGGTGCATTTGTTCACTCACACAGGGGCTGGCAGTGAGCAAGCTGGAGGTGTCTTGACTCTGATGGTGGGGGTCACTGCTGATAACTGTCACCTCCACCCCCACTGGCTGATCTGAAGGTCAGAGGTCAAACAGTATTCTGTATGTTAGTAAAAGCGTTGCAGGAGGGAGTGAAAACAGCATCTACTTTATTTTACAGATATATCTGTATTTATGTATTCCTTTTTTTCCTTCATTACTATTTGCCATCAGTCAGGAAGTCTTTGATGGAAATTGTGTGGTTTCACTGCTAATGGGGAAAGTTGATGCCTACTGGGTTCTTGGACACCAACAGTGGATGACAGAAATGGAGAAACATTTCTGCAGGCAGAAATTCTGTGGTTGGAAAACCACTTAGTTTGTGCTGCTGAGTATGATATGGAGAGACAAGCCAAATATGAGGACAACGGCTGTAAGCGGAGCACACACACACACACACACACACACACACACACATACGCACAAATACATGCACACACAAAGTAAAAGACACAACACAGGACACCAGAAGAAATCTATACAGATGTACAGAAAAAATGAAAATGTATAGAGTTCAACCACGTACACATATGCATACACAAACACCTACAGAAACAAAAACTAACACACACACTTGCTTCATGGACCTGACTTGATGTGGCTGTCGTCCCCATTGGCTCCATCACAGGACAGAAGTTGTGAGTCCCTCTCCTCTCCCTCTGTGTCTCTCTCTCCTGCCCTCTCTATCCTCAGTTGGATCTGTCTGTCTCTCACAAGCTCCCAGTTCCTCACAAGGAACACGTGGTGTTTCACCACAAAGCTCCTGGCCCGGGCACACAGAGAGAAACATAAGCCATCCTGTGCTGACATTAGTGCATCAGTAGTTTATTCTGAAACGTGAATCGCTTGTGTTCTTTCCATACCTCTCACTGCTGGTCAAAGGTTCCATGTCGAGGTGAGGAAATAGGCTGGTAATGTCACTGGAGCTCTCCTCCTGTGAAATAAAATAAAATAAAATAAAATGGAGGGACGCATGCATGTTTTACCAGTTATCTAAACTGCATTCTTCAGTGGAATGAATTGACCTCAAGTCACATGAACTCACCGCTATCTGGTGAGAGGTTGCAGTCCTCTCCTTCAGCCGGCCTGAGTGAAACCAAGAGAGAGCGAAAGTGAGTAAGATACCGTATGAGAGTATTGATCTGATCCATCAACTAAACCTGAAAATAACATATCCGTTGCTGGCAACTTACAGTAACGCCGCTTCCTCTTCAGGGGGACAGCAGGCTGCCTTTGAAGCTGCAGCAACACAACATGAGAATTACGTCCATATTCATGAGACTCCACAAATCTCCTTGTAACACTCTTTTATCTGCAAAGATGCTAAGGTATGACCTTCTAACTTCCCGATTCTGTGTTACGGGGTTCTACTGTACCTGATTGTGCTGCCACAGCCACATAACATCATAAGGTAATTGGAAATGAATCCGCTTCAGCCTAAGGTACTTCCCTGGGGGTAGAAAGGGAGTTTGGATGAGCTATCACAGCTATAACAAAGTACAGCAACGTTTGCACTTTTTTTTAAATACTCACCAACATGTATGGGAGCAGGTAAAAGGCTGTATTCATGCTCCTCTGGTGTGTATTCCATACTCTCTCTGCACAGCTGATGGGCTTGGGAGGGCGGACTATGAAAGAGACGCATTAAAAACATAAACAAAAGACCCAATAACAGAAACAATGTTATAATAGTTTGTTTATGAATTCAACTCACTCTGTAGTTTTGTAATCATCAGAGTAAAGACCTGCCCTCAGAAACTTCTTCCTGGGAGGACCATCTGCTCTCTCCTCTCTTTGGATGGTTACTGGTTGGGATGGAGCCTGGTCCACATCTGATTGGCTAAAACATTCAGGGGGGGTGTCACACTCAGATTTATCCTCAGGGACACTAAAAGGAAAGCATGAAGAGAGAGAGATAGAACGATAGAGAGGAAAAAGAGAAAGAGAGAAAAGGCACTGGTTTAGCACACAGTGCTGAAAACGATGGGTTAATATAGCAGTAGTGAGTGGTTGTATTGAATTTTCAAGTCAACCAGCTCAGGTACTTTATAATACAGTTGTGATTGTTTACCTCTGATGACAAGGGGAG